CAGTTTCTGAAATGTAAGCCATAAAACTACCAAAATATCTTCAAGAGTGATTGTGTGGGATCATCTGGGATGGAGCCCGGTTCAACAGGAAGAGGAGAGTGGCAGTTGTAGAAGGGTGGCTGTTATGGGGAGGTAGGGGGTAATATGACACCTGTTTTTTCAGGGGAAGGGGGTGGGTTCAACGTTTTTAATTATTGCGTATTGTCGCATGTAAATACATAACACAATCAAAATATATCAATAAAACAGAACCAAACAGAAACCAACGATGTGCAGTATGGATCATGTTTTCTGTCAGATGTATTAGAATAAAAAACTCTCCACTGGGACAAAAAGTGGCTGCTGTAGAATGGTGTTCGTTAGTGGGGGTTTGACTGCACTATCTTTTCAAGTCTCAGTTTTCAAAATAGAATTGTTAATGAGAATATTTTTATGCATTAAACATACTACTGGCTGTTATGAAAATTTTTTTTTTTCTTCAGATACCAAATTTTTTTCACTTGACTCCTATTGCTGTTGAAAGACACTGTGCAGCCTTGAAATGTGAGTAACATCTGATATATCACAGCATTAGAACATGAAGTTATGTGTAAGTGAGTGTGTCTAAGATGAATGTATCCCAGTGCGTCTACATAAAAAAAAGATTCATTGGCTGGTTGAAGAATCTAAACCATTAAGAGGGAATCCTCCAGAAGTTTAAGTAACAAGCGGACAAAAACTTTGTACTTGTTGGTCTTCTTTTCTTTTCTTGGTAGCATTATGTACTGAATGGCCACATAACCTTGATCTTTCTACTGTACCATTACGAATCACGACCAAAAACTACTTATTTGCGGGACCATCACTTTACCATCCTGGATCAAGAATAGTTAAACTTCAGGTATTGTTGACTCACTCCCAGTTTTGGTCCCTAGCATTTGTTAACTGTAGATTTCAATTTCTTGTAAATGTTCACATGTGTTTATATTGTGTTAATGTTATTGTGCAATAGTTATGTATATTCAGTCATAGTTTTAGCCCTTTTATTGTTTATTATGATACTAGATAGTGTTAACTATTCACTATTTAGTCCCTTTGTAAGAAAAAAAGGTTCTGGATAAACTTTTGGATTTATGAACAATACAGGTTCTTGTTATCCTCACTGATATAGGCATAGTTATATAGCCATATTGATTATGAAACCTGACAAATTTCTTTGTTGTATTTTTTTGTTTGCATTTCTGGCCTTGACCATGCACAAAGCACAATAGCTGTTTACTCCGTACTAAGGAACTAACCAATAGAAATGGTTTGGTTACATAATTCATGCATAGTGTATGAGCACAAAACAAAAGATTGTGGACGGTCGTGAACCTTCCAAAATTAATTTAAGC